AGAAAAGCCCCAGGACTCACTGCTCCTGAAGTGGCCTTGGGGCTTCAGGGGGCTCATGAAAGAGCCCCCGATACAGTATGGGGCAGCGGGGATCACCCCCCACTGGCAGGAATGGTGAGTCCAGGGTTTTTTCATTTTTTTTTTCCTTTAAGGCCCAGAGCTACAGTGGGTGGGGCAGCCAAGGGGGGGAGGGGTGTGCAGAGCCCTCCATGCAGCAAAAGGCAGTGTGGGGCAACAGAGATTGCCTCCCCACCTGGCAGCACCCACTGAGTTGGGGCTTTTTTTTTCCCAAATTGCTGGGAGCTGGAGCAGGTGGGGCAACCATTGCCAGGCTGGGAGAGCGGGCAGGGAATGGGCCTGGCCTGGCTGACTTGACAATTCAACAGTGGCTGAATCTCCAAATCAAAATCGCTGTCCCCCGAATCGGCCAAATCCGAAGCAAATACTAGCCGCTTCACACAGATCTACTATGTAGAAAGCAATGTTGCTTGGGTCAGAATTCAGTCAGGCCAGGTCTATCCTGTGTAGAGAAGAATTATGGGCATAAGTACACAATATAGGAAGGTGTAACCTGAAGACCTCTAATTTTGAAGGGCTCCTTTCCACCCCCAGATGTTCAGGATGCAGGATCAGTTGGAGTCAAGCACACTGTTGATGGCAGTGTTGAAGGGAATATTAACTTTGAGAACGTGGAAGTGAAAGGACTTGCCAAGATGTCCCAAGAGAGGTCCATCAACATGAAAAAAACCTTTGTCTCTGTACAAGTCCTTGAATCGCTAAAACAAGAAAGGTAAGGCTGGCAAGAAATGGGTGAAAGCATCCTTGAGCGAGTTCCTTGAACTAATTGTGGCCTCATAAGGCAATTCAGCAGCCAAATGACAAAGTATATATTCCCTCCTCAAGATACACCATTTACCAGAACTATGACAGGAGGCAGGGTTGAGCACTTTCAAAGCCCTGTAGCACTTGGGGATCCCTCTCGTATTAAGGAAAACCTCCACAAACCAGTTAGGCCAGTTTTCCTCTTACTTTCTAATTTTAAATATGTAAATCCGAGAACAAGTAAGGATGTTTTACCAATGCTACTGAAACCTCACTTCTTCTTTAGGAAAATCAATATGGAGCACCCATTCATTACACAATTAAAGAACCAGAGACGGAACCTATATGTTATCCATGAGGCTGTACATGCTTCGGAGGAGACCACATTTAAAGACTCCAACAGACTAGAAGGGAGCATAATAGCCCAGATCTATGTCAAGCTTCACGTAAAAGTTCAATTATTTTTCCAGTTTTACCTCCTATTTTTAAAACATCTTTGTGCTATAATAAACCTGTTATCTTCTCTTTCATGGATCAGGGGGCCAGGAACAGCAAAAGAGACTTAACTATTCCCAAGGACTGTGTCCTGGCTTTCAGGGTTATGCCGCTGATTATTGAAGATGGATCATGGAGTAAGCATCAGCCACAAACCTCCAGCTTTCTCTGTGTGCAAGCAGTGTAGTAAATGATATTTCTGCTGTACATCTTTCACCCAAATGTAGCCCCACTATTCTTGCATGCAAGACCGGGAACACTGTGTGTATAACTGGCAAAATTCCAGGGGTGAGGTTTGGAGGAGAAGGTCATACAGTGTAGATACGTTAGAAGAGATGCTAAGGAAAAATGATACAACAGGAAATTGACTCAATGAGGTATAAGGCTTGATCCCAGATATCAGGAGATGCAAAGGAAGTACAGACAAGAGGCTGTGCACAGGGGTCCTTTAAGGCCAAGAGACAGCAATGAAACCAGGACGCTGGATTTGCAGTAAGAGAGACGAGTGCTAGACAAGCTGTGAAAGTGACAAAAAAAAAAAAAAAAAAA